GAGCTCTGGGACCCATCTAGTTGTTTGGGTTCTGTCACGAGGAACCCAAACTACTAGAAGTAAACTCTTGTGTGCGTTGACGCCATGCTTTTGATTACTTCACGGCAACTAATTTATTTTTGCTATCCTACACATACCGCTGAGTTGTCAGACTTGATACACGAGAACAAACTTGCTCCAAAATCCCGTACTAATCCAATGAATCGTCGACCATTTGGTTGTAAAAACACTGAAAGCATTTTATTTACGCTTTTTTGATAAACAGTTTGGTCACTCTGTCGAACTAATCCTCTGCTCGACCCCGTGATATGTCCACCTGCATGAGGCGGGTAGGTTTTTCTCAACCTTGAGCAAACGCTTTTCAATCATGCACACGTTTTCTATTTCCCATGCCTAGAACGGTCAAGAGAGCGAACAAGACTTAGGTCGAAGCACGTTGCCTTCGTGTGATCCAGCTAACTTTTTAGTTGATATGAAAACTGTTATTCGAGAGGTTTATTTTTTCTTCCAACTCAGCCGCTTTTCCACATGAGAACGTCGGGTGAGTTTCCGAAACGGTCAAACTTTTAATCTCGTCGTGATGCGGGTTTCAATGTCTTTGTTGTTTGCATTTAATTTTTGACTTTCCAGACCTGACTCTGGTCAAAGTTTGCTTCAGCATTCTCCTGCCGTCATACCCAAAATCACCGTTTGTCACTGAAGAAACGATAAGGCTGAAATGCAGCCAAGTCTGCAAGCTGCAGGCTTCGCACCAATTGTAAATGAGCAACAATCCCGCTCCTTTGGCTGGATCAGGATGGAACATGTTGGTCTAACGCAACATCTATTAGCAAATGGGTTGTGCATTATTTTCTTATGGCGCTTATCGGCAGGGCTGAGGATGATGAGAACAACAGTGGAATATCAAGTCCTTATATTTCCGTTGTTCGCGGCTGGATAACGCGAACACTTACAATGAGTTTCCCCCTATGATTCCAAAGGTCTGCAAAGTTAGGCTTGTAAGTTGCCTTTCTTTCGTTGACACCCATACTGAGCACAAATCCTTCTCATGTACCACTACTCATTTGGGAGCTGAGAAAAACGCAGCACAAATCCTTCTAATGTACCACTACTCATTTGGGAGCTGAGAAATGTGTCAATGCCTTGTTCCTCTGCTAACACATCAAGGAGATGAAATCTGAGCCATAAAAGCGTGTTTGTCTGGACAATGTAACATGAAGAAAATACAGTGAAATACACTCGCTTTATAAGTTGTGAAAGGGTCTTCCACAGAATATAACCTATAGAATCAAACACAAACTGAAAAACGCTGCATATTTTATGCAACGTTTTTTTCGGCTGATATTCTTTTACTTCACTGTTAAATGGGCCTAGATCGTCAGCATACCTTTCTCTCGAAGCGCACTTCTGGCTTTCTTGACTTAAACGCGATGCGCGCCGATTCCAGACGGTGTGCCGACGATGTTGTCACAATCGACTTAGCGACAAGCGAAGTTCATTCTCAGTTTGCTACTCACAAAATGATATAGCTTGACGTGGTAAACTATGCTCTACCTAACGGCTCCTAACAGTAGCTAACCTTTGTTGATTTATTTTAATTAAATATGTAATTGGGCACTAAGTGCCTTTCGCTCTGGAGACCAAACAGGAATAATAAACAGCGGATGGTGAACAAAGGCTTTAGTGACGAATGTACCCACCTTTTTCCTAAGATCACTCATTTTCCACAGAAACTCGACGCCACCAAATTCAACAACCAGCAATCGGTATCTTGCTTTACGGTCGCAGTTTAGCATGTGTACTCTCATCCACACCTCGATGTGAAAACTCATGAATTTACTTGACTTTCTCCAGGGGACCGTACAAGTACGAAAGTGCTGTGTTGAAGCAGTGTAGATAAACGTGCGCAGATGTATATCTTAATAGCTCCAATTTGAATTTGTTATTTGGAGGCATGACGTGCTCAAACGTTACGACGTAACATAAACGAGCTGGTTCTACTTTGAGCTGTAAATACACCATGGATTTTCCGTTTGTGTTTTCTGAAATCTACTGGGAGTTGCCTCGAAAATATTTTTGTGTTGGAGTTCAATTATATGGTCTACTTGTTTCAGAATTTCGCCGGGACAAGTCGTATCTTGTCCGCAAGATTGCAGCATTCGTTTCAACACGGCACTTCCGTACTTCTACGGGCCCCTGAAGAAAGTCCACCAAATTCATGAGTTATTGTGAAGTCTTGTTAATCATTCCATTTGACTGCAGCCGGCAGGCCTTGTCGCTGGTGCTGCTTGAATGACAAAGCTACCTAGTCCTGACACTGCTGTGCAAACTGGATGCACCTTGGGTAGCATAGGCCATTTGGTTTCGAGCCACCTATACTCGCCCGTCAATTTCATTCTGCTGTACTCCGACCGAGAAATTTTTAACGGATCTACCTTTGGAGACCGCGAATTCCCTCTGATTCTCGCCCTGGCTACCAGAAAACACACTTTTTTTTATGAAGTTGCTTCTCTCTTAAGTAGCGCAGTACGATTCCATCAACAGGCCACAGCACAATGATATTTCTCGCGGTGTGTGGGATACTCAGCTTCTTCAAACAGCTTTTCTCTGATTTCCGTCGTGCGGACGCACCACATGGAAGCGATTCCTCCCAAGTGTACGCGCTCGTGATCACCGCACACTCTAGCCAGATCATCAAGACGATTTGACCATATCAGGTCCGAGTGGTCGACACTCAGTTTTGATTCGGTTTTGCTGAAAATAACGCAGGAGGTTTATATTGGATTTCACACTACTGCTTCCTCAACAAGATCACATACTACTAAAATACTGATTGAAGTAGCTAAGTAAATGGCGATAGAAATCAGGGCAACATATGTCGATTCGAGTTTGTCAAATAGAACAGCAAACGGAACAGCAGTGTGCCCTGTTTACTGCAAGTCCGTCATTGGACTGACGGAAGTCCGAATCTGTAATTACTTGATGCAAGCGTGCATTTTATTTCCCTGTCCCGAGTTGTTATATAACTGCGTTTGGGTTCAAAGGAGCAATATTACACCCAGCTAACCAATTTGGATAGGACAGGACATTAGTGACCGAGAAGATAGAAAAAATAATTTTCTTTCTCAGAACCAGGTGACGAGCAGATGCCATAGCTGTTTATGTCAGGGCATATTTATCACACCTACTCACTTTGGTCCCTCCGGTCACTCTGATGATAATCGCTGTCTTTTCTGTGAAAGGAAGCCCTTCGAAGAAGATATTCCGGAATAGATATACTCGGTCAATAAGCGCTCATTAATCGAAAGCTCGATGGTCCATTATATAGAAATTCCTTTTGCTGGAATGCGGCCAGTACCAAAAGGGTACATTGCTTTGAAAGACCTGCGTATCCCCCACAAAACAGACGGCTTAAATAGCCCCTGAATTTGACAAATAAGGCACGCCTACGTCAGGATTCGAGTAATCGACATGGAATTTTGTCAATTAAGACAAGTATAAATTTCTACGGAACTTGAGATTCATGGAGCACAATTCCTCCTCGCATTGTGAATCCGTAGGCCTATTTTTTGAAGGCAGCAAAATTCGTTACACCGACTTTGATAATGATCAATGCAAGTAGTGCTTAAAAGGAAATTCTCATTTTCATTGTGCTCTGAAGGTGGTGATCTTGTGGGTCACAAATAAATTGCGATGTTTTATACACCAGAATACATTTTATAACCATCACGCCGACCATGTATGGTTGCACTGCTTCAGGATTATCGGTGACCATTGGCACAACAACTTAACCGACCAGATTTCAGGATGGTAGTTGGTATATGCAGATTTGCAACCTATCGCATGTCACTTGCGTAACCCTGGTTGGAATTTGCCCAAAGCCCAACATATATTGCACCCAAGTGCACTCTAAATAAGCATTCCGATACGAAACATCATCCCACAAGCGCTTTGACTGACAGAGGTGTAGAATAATGATGTATTTCAGAAATGTTCTTTTGTAAATTCAGTGGATTAAATATACTACTGTTTCTCTTCAATTAAAGGATCTGTATGCTCCCGTTTGTGCACTGTTTTTGTGTGCCTTTTGAAGCTGTTCGAATATATGAACGTTTTATTGCACTTGTCGCATTTAACTTGCTGTAATTTGGTGTGCTTACATTTGGTGTGCTTTTTTAAAACTGGTATTGTTTATGAAGTCCAGACCACACTCCCAACAAACCAAATGTCTTGAGTTCGTGTGGGCGTGCGTGTTATGTGCACGCCAATCAGGGAAACTTGGAAATCCATTTCGGCCTTCGCCCCTTTTGTATCCCATTGTCATC